GACTACGGAAAAGACTTCATCAAGAAAGCCCGCGTTTCCCCGGACGCCTACATCCAAATGGCCCTCCAGTTGACGTACTTCAAGGACCAGGGCCGTTTCGATCTGACCTACGAACCGGCAGTGATGCGTCTGTTCCGTGATGGTCGTACGGAGACTGTCCGCTCGTGCTCAAACCAGAGTTGCGCCTTTGTCCGCGCGATGCGCGATGAGAAGACGTCGGATGCGGAGAAATTGCGTTTGTTGAAGCTGGCTTGTGACCGTCACCAAGATTACTATCGGAATGCGATGGCCGGCAGGGGTGGGTATTAGTATTGGGAACTTTCCAATACGAAAATCTATTTTTTGAAGCTTTTAAAATCTCACTTTTCCAGGTGTTGATCGTCATCTATTCGGCCTGTACGTCGTCTCGAAGTACTACGAAATGTCTTCCCCATTCCTCGACAACGTCTTCTCGATGAGCTACGCCCTGTCCTCCTCGCAGACGCCGCAACATCAGTCCGTCGAGTACTCCGCCGTGCTGAACAAGGAGCGCGAGCTGTTCTGGCCTGCCGGAGCTTTTGCCTGCCCTGATGGCAGCAAATACGGTATTAGAGTTGAAATTTGACATTGAACATCCTTTTTTAAGGTGTGTGCTACACGATCGGCACCACCGGCGATATGATGTCTTTCCACATTTCCAGCAAGAAGAGCTTCAAGGATACGGTGGGTATTAGTGAAAATTGGAAATAATAGCCATAAAAATAGCAATTTTATAACCGGTTACTTTTTCAGGATTGCCACCGCTTCCGCTCTCAACTTCTCGACTCCTTGCGCGAGATGAGGGAGATGGTCGAGGCGGCCACTGCCAAGCAATAGAAGCAAAAACATGAACTGACCTACTAATCCTCCTACTCGTATTACGGTTGTGATTTTGCGATCGCGCATAATCCAAAAAGGGTTCTAGGCCCGCCAACTTCGGTCATTCAATGCGGGTGTTAGGTGTAGCCCTTCCCCGCTTCATCCTGTCCCTCCCCTCCCCCCCCCCCCACACTTTCTGTAGTAAGTGTACATACCTTGACTCCATAGGTTTTGGCCAGGGTTGGTATGTATGATTTTGGTGGAAAAAGCGAAATCAAGCCGCTCTATTCAAAATTCAACTGCAACCAACCCTGTCCTCTACCCCCTGACCCCTTGAAACCCACCCCCACACCAGATGCAAAGATTGGCAAGGAGATGCATTTAAATTAAGTTAAAAACTAACCCCACAACTGGCTTATATGACTCCGTCCCCTCCCCTGCCCTCCCCTCCCCTGCCCTCCCCTCCCTCCCCCCCCCCCCCCCCCGCCCCTTCCGCTTGTCTGGTGTATAAAGTGTATATATGGGCTGTGCTCCGTCCAAGTCAATGGCTCTATGTGGCTTCCCCCCATTTGGGGTATTTGGGTACGAATAAATACAGAATAAATACGTTTATGCAATGTACAAAGAGGTAGACGATGTGAATAGAGACAGTGCGCGGTGAGGCCTAGCTATTAGAGGAGCTTCAGGTCATCGGGAAGTTGGCATTTGTTGGCCGAGATGATGTCGGAGAGATCGACGACACGTCCCTCGTAGCGCATCTGAATTTGGGGTTGAGCGTCGTCAAGGTTAAAAATGGACGATAATAGAGGTTTTTGATACAAAAATGGATAATATTTTTTAAGGATAGTTTGTAAAATTTTTACATTGAATGGCAAAAACAAGTTCAGCAATTTCGTTTCTATTAATGGTTAGTATATAGAGGGTGGAAACCTAAGGAAAAATTCCTCTGTGCCTTGGTATCACTCACACACACTCTCTCTCCCTCTCACTCTCTCTCTCTCTCTCTCTCTCTCTCTCTCTCTCTTCCTCTCTCTCTCTCTTATCACCACTCTCTCTCTCTCTCTTTTCTCTCTACTCTCCACCATCCCCTCTCTCTTTTCCCTCTCTCTTCTCTCTCTCTCTCCCTATCCCCCTCTCTCTCGCTTGCTCGCTCTCTCACTCTCTCGCTCGTTACATACCTCCAGGAAAATCGTATCCGGTGCAGAATCACAAGAAAGCCGCGAAGCAATTGGCTGCCCCTGTACGATATGCTGACGTCCGAATTCCATATCTGGCCTGACGCGCACGTTGTAGATGCGGGCCTCAAATCCTGAGAATGAGGGTAGTACATTAACCCTAGATCTCCTATCCCCTACCAATCCATGCTCCACTTCCGACGATGAACACCCCATCATTCTCACATCCAGAATACGCCCCCTGCGCATCGTACGTCAATCGGGTGCGGCCGATTTGCTAGAGCCCACTCAATAAAACGATTTTCCTCTGTGAAGTTACCTCTCCCTCGATCGGAGAAAAGATTAGAGGAGCCCTTGGTTGTTCACCATCTTCTTCAAGCATTTCGCAAGCCAAGTCCCAGCCGCGAACACCGTTGAACCGTCTAGAAACACCAGCCTAATTTGATCGTTGAAATATTTAACGCACTTGTCGGAATGGAATGGGTTTCCAAGGAGTTCATTTTTCTTGTTTGACTCGCAGATTTGCCCGGTGCACATGCCTGAAATTTGATATATTCTTGTAAAATCGTGTCCAAATTCGCAGAAAACAATAAAATACGCACTTTCTTGAAAACAAAATGTTCAGGATTATAGAAACCAACATTTTTGCAAATGAAAGGTAGGATCGACTGGTTTCCCCTCTCTGAACAACTGCATTTCAATGGAAGGGCTCGCTGTCCGCTGTTCTGAAGGCATCCAACAGGAACTATCGATTGCCCTAAAATTAAGGGGTTTATTTTTAAACGTTTAAAGCGTGAGCTGTCTAAAACTGATTAGTATTAATTATTCAGATGTGCACTTACTTTCCAATCGGATCTCCCTTCTTCACTTTACCACCATACATCTCTGGTGCGATACTACCGATTTGGACGTGATAGCCTTAATTTAACTTATTTACAGAAATTTTCTTTTATATTTACCTTGCCATTGGCCGGAACCGTAGATCAACACTCCCTGGTTAGCGCAATCCTTGTCAGCGGTGGCTGTAAAGGCAAAAAATACTTTTCCATATATTTCTAAAGGTATTTTAATCGCTATGTTTCCTTGACTAGGGAATTACCTAAACTTGTTTCTCGCCCTAGGAAAAGGGAAACCGCTGGCCGCCGCAGTTTTTGGCACTGTTTTAAGATCCACACAACAAGCACTTTCCAGAGTAGAAAAATCCTTTTAACGAAGCTATAAATATACCCCAGAATTATCAACTAGTCCACTATTCCGGTAAACCCGGGCCCCGGTATATGGGACATTGCTCGCTCCCGACCTTGCATCCGGGTTCGAAACCCCTCCTTGACAGACTGCTCAAATTCCAATTTTTTTCGCAAATTTGTTGCTTTTTCTTCTTACTTTATTCTCCCACCAGTGGAAAAAGACCGCTTCGCGGCCATTTTCCACTGGACCCCGTCCAGGAACTATGAATTTGAATACCTTCTTTTTTTTGCCTGCGGCGCTAGAACCTGAGCCAAGGAGCCATTCGTTGGCCTACGGCGCCAGAGCCAGCGTTCCGCTAGAACCTTTGAGCCTGCGGCGCGAGAGCCTGGATAAAGGACCCATTCTTGGCCTGCGGCGCTAGAGCGAGGGCCAGCCAGGTCCAGACCGCTTCGCGGCCATTTCCACTGGGCCCAGTCCCGGAGCCATGAATGTGAATACTTTCTATTTGAACCTGCGGCGCTTGAATCTGAGTCAAGGAGAGCCAGCGAGCCGCTAGAATTTGGGAGCCCGCGGCGCTAGTTACTGGTTTTTCTCCAGGAACTGGCCTGCGGCGCGAGAGCCCGAGCCAAGGACCTGTTCTTGGCCTGCGGCGCGAGAGCCTGGACCAAGGGCCTTTTCTTAGGCCTGCGGCGCTAGAGCGAAGGCCAAGCCTAAACCTCGCGCTAAAATCTTTTTGCCTGCAGCGCTAGTTACTGGTCTTTCTCCCGGATTTGGCCTGCGGTGCAAGAACCGAGAGCTGAGAAATATGTTTTGTTGCCGAACAACCAAAAAGCAAAACGTGAAATTCTCGCAGGATCCGAACCCGAGACCTTGCGCGTGGTAGACCGAGCGCTATTCCACTACACCAAGGGGCACATGGGAAGAGACGGCGGGAAAGGCCTCTTCTGTCCTGGCGAGGCGCGGGGCAAAGATAAGGGTGACCATTGTTCCCGGAGGGAGGCCGTCAGGTCACTTTACAAAATTCGATTTTTTAGTCTGAACCTGTAAAAAGTTTGTAAAGATAATAAGATGCGCGTGATCCCCATCCTTGATTCCATAAACGGTGCAAATTTCAGCCCGGAATTCTATCAGGGCTTCGAGTTAGGGCCCGGACACCACGGCCGGTCCCGCGGTGTATTAAGGACCTTTCAGAAAAATCTTTATAAAAACTTTGTTTTAAAAAATTTGGCAAAATCCGAAAAAATGTATCTGGGGAATTACTTTTGCCATCTACCATCCAAAAATGAGGCCTCAATTCCTTCTAGGGGCCGAAAAAAGTTCCGGACAACATGCGCACCCAAAAATGTTAAGGATTTTTCACATTTTTGCTTGTAAAATCGTAAAATGAAAGAATTTCGGAAAAATCCAAAAACCGTTTTTTATGAATGGGATTTCCCACCTCCATGCCAAAAATCAGCTCGAAACTCGGCCCGACGGCCGAGAAAACGGCCGTACAGAAAACAGACATACTTTTCTCGCTTATAGGATAGGATGTATGCTAGGTCGCAGTAGAGGTTTGCGAAGGTTTGCGAATTGGGAATGCCCCATATCCCCCGCCCCCACGCGCTGTTATCCGAATAGTGCAAGTTCATAATGCTGCGTAGATTCAATGGACTTTTTCAATGGGTTTTTCTACTTTGGAAAGCGCTTACTGTGTGGATGTCAACACGGATGATTGAACAGAGCAAAAAAATTGTCGGATAGCGTTTCCCTTTTTTTCTAAGGCGAAAAACGAGTTCAGGGATTCCCCTAGCGAAATTAGTCTATTCACAAAGGATGGTCTTTGTTTGATAACTTACTTCCAAACGGTTTCCAGAACTCCATCATTCCGTCGAATGGGGCGTGAACAATGGCGCCAGCACCGCAAAGGATATCCACAGCCGTCACGATTTCTCCATCAGCACTGGAAAATTAGAAAATAGATTTGAGCTTTGGTGAGATAAAATTTCTGAAGTGATAAAAACCGGTGGTATAATTTGGAATCTAACTATTTGACCTCCTATTAGGGATTTTTCAGCGATTGAAAAGTATAAGGCTCGTTTGACTAATATAAATGATAAAAAGTCTGCTTTAAAAATAATAAAATGCCCGTTGAAGAATAATTGAAAGACAACACTCAAAATTACCGTTCTCCCCGATAATGGCCACATCCTCCATCAGAATCGGGGCAGCCCCTCAGCACGTTTTCCTCATTCTTCGAACAGATCTGCGGCATACATCCCAACGCTGATGCTGTAATTAGCCGCTGATTAAGAATTAAGTGTATTTTAAATATCTAGTTTTTTTCTGTGAGTTCCTCTAGCTTTGGAAAATTGCCAGTATGCAAGAAAACCCACCTCCAACGACAAAAAGTGTGAATAACCAATATTTAGATAGCATCCCGAACAATGCAATGTGAACGTTGATTATGATGAGATCGATTGAGAACCCCCCGAGGGCACATTACACCAAGCGGCCCTCTTCACATGACCCAACAACCTCTCTTTCCAATCTCTACGTTCAATCCACTGATTGAATGATTCACAATCAAAAGTTCAACTTTGCTCTGTTTAATGGTGATTATATAGTACACAAATAATTACATAATTTATTATATTCACAGGCGCCACATCAATATTTTTAGTTCTCCTCGCTGCTGTCGACGTGTCCGCTGGAAATTTAGGAAATAAAACATATGGCATGTGGAGCTTACTGTTTGAATGGTCCACGCTTAGGGATGAGCTTCTTCTGTTCTTCGGGGAGAGCATCAAGGATTTCCTGGAAAAAAAAATTTATATGTATTTTCGAGAGAGAGAGAGAGCGGGAGAGAGACAGAGAGAAAGAGAGCGAGGGACAGAGTGAGAACGAGGGATTCTAAAACAACAAGGGATCGTATCACTTACCCGGATCTTCTTGAAACGATCGCGAGGAGGGAGGGCCTTATCCTCACGCACAGCCTTCACTTTTTCCTATAAATTTTATATCAAATGTTTAAGGTTAAGGGTGGTACCTGAACATCAGCCGGGAGCTTCTCAATAAACTTGGGAACCGGGAAATGGGGGCGCTGGTCAGCGGGCAGGGATTCGAAGAATTTGTGGAGCTTCTCGCGGCGTTCCTTGCGGTCAGTCTACAGCTATACTTATAAGAAATAGCCATCAATAAACTACCGTGCTGCTGCGGATGGCCTCAACCTGTTTGCGTTGGTCTTCGGGGAGGTTGGCGACGAATTTGTCGAGCTGTAAAGGTATTGGTATATTTTATGTTTAAAAACCGTGGCAAAGGTTTATCTAAACTGCCCTAGCAGTAAAGCCCCAAAAAAAATCGATTTTTAGGTTATTATTGAGGGTTTCGTCAACACTATGCTATAGAACATTTAAGAACTCAAAATAATCGAAAATAAATATTTATAGCAAGAACAATCAAAAATTCTTGAAAAAAAAACCTGAAATAAGATTATAAATTCTAAAAACCCTTACCCATTCGTGACGATGATGATGCTCACCCTTCTCGGCAGCCACAAAAACCGCCAAGCAGCAAAGAACAGCGACAATCTTGAGCATGATCTTTCGACTGATACTCCACCTTCCATCTGCCGCTACTTATATTGGTGGCTACAGCCCTGACCTTGTGCCATTTCACCCAACAGTCGGAAAGATCACCACCAATTGCTGCTTATTCGCCAGGGCCCCATCCCCCGTTCGATCTCATCTTTGATGCAATTTTGCGCGCCGGTTGCTGCTCCTCGGGGAACACCGGCTCCAATTTGTCACTTTGTGTGTGTATTTCGAAGGATAGGGAGAAGCGATAGCTTGCGGGGAGTGCTGAAAATAAGGCGGACGAAAGAAAGGAAATGATTGGAACAGGGGATGTTGAGGTGTACCTGAGTGGTTAGAAAATGGACAGATTGGTTTTGCTTGTCCTTAAAAATTTATCAAAATGGGTTTTAGGCAGCACTGAAAAGCATTCGATATCCCTGTTCTTCGTATTCGACTGGACTCTTCGGGACCTCCACTGAAATGTATACAATAAGCCATAAATTGCCGTACGCTTACTAACCTTGTGCCTTCGAAGCTGATTTTTGAAGTTTACGCTCGAGTACATCAACATCATACCCTGTATTACCCTCCTTTGGCTCGTCTTCAGTCCGAATTCTCGGCTGAAATCGTTCTTCGCCTTTAACCACTCTGTTGTTTCCTACCGTAACATCCTCAGGCTTATCATATCCATTAGGATTTGAGGCCGGGTTTGGCGGAACCAGATCAGCGACAATTGTGTTGACTCCACAGTCCGAGGGGCAATACGCGCCTGTGAACGGATTACCGAAATAGTTCTAATAAACTACCTGGTAGTCCAGCATCTCCTGGTGCTCCTGGAGTTCCCTTATCACCGAAGCGACCGTACTAAAGGGGGTTTGAATTTCTATTTAAGCATTTGGATGAAATACCTGTCCAGTCTTTCCGATTTTTCCTTGTCCTCCAGGCGGTCCGGGAGTCCCGGGGATGTTAGAAGGACGGCCGGGGACACCACGAGTCCCTGCCATACCCCGTGGTCCTTGGGGTCCTTTCGGTCCTTTCACTCCCTCACCAGCTGAAAACGTGTTTGCATTAGCCAACATACTTCTTTTGTAAAAATGACTTATAACTGGCAATTTTTAGTCCGACTTCTCTAGCACCACTAACGAGTTCACCCACCAACAACATCCCGTCCAATAGGTCCTTTTGGTCCTCGTCTTCCAGCATTTCCAGGAGTTCCAGGATTTCCCTTAGGTCCGGCCTCACCGTCAATTCCAGGGTTTCCGGGGTGACCTCCACAAAAATATTTCTCGTTTTATGGAGTACTTACCAGGGATTCCCTTTCCTCCAGGGGTTCCACTCAGCCCGCGCTCACCCTGAGCACCACGTGGGCCCTGAGGTCCGGATGGGCAAATTGTGCATGGTAGCTCGATAGGGGAATCGAGTTCGATGTCTTCACCGTCGGATCCCGGCTGTAAGAAATAAATCCTAGTAAAGAGCTAGTAAAAAAAAATCCAAGATTTATTATTTCTAGATTTACTTCAAAGCGAAGACACTTACATATCCAGTTTTTCCAGGAAGCCCTGGCATACCATCAGTACCAGTCGGCCCTTCTTTCCCGGTCGGACCCATCGGACAAGCCAGTCGTTGACATTCTAAAGCTGTCCTAAGGCTAATTCCTGTATCCCCTACGACTGCACTGATGTAGTACGCCCTTCTGGTCATTCAGTCTCCCCTCTGGGTTATTCTCATAGCTACGTCGAGTTCGAATGGCCGATCCCAGCCATGGCATTCTTCGGATGTTCCATTGAATCTGGTCCCAGAATGATTTTTGGACAATCTATACGCTCAAAATTAAATTACAAATATTTTCAACACCTTTAGGACTTCAGCTCGTTCTTGGATGCCTTCACGGGCATTGGTGGCATTTTGATGTAGGGATATGGAGAGAGTAATGACGATTACGGTAGATAGGAGTGAGACGGCGATCGACGCGTGGGCAAGGGTGCGGAATGGGTCGCCCATCCCTAATTAAAAAATTTTTAAGATTTAATTAATTAATTAATAAACGTTTAAATTAACTTGAATTTGATTCTCTTCATTTGTGTGTACATTGGGGAAAGACTTGAAGCAATTTGTGGGCATGGTCAGGAAACAAGCGCTGAACGATTTCATAAAACTGGGAGGTGAATGTTTTTACAGATTATATGTTAAAAATGATAGAGTATGATATAAATGAGGCGTTGTATTAACCAAAATATAATCGTATAATTTGGAATCGAGGTTGAGACAGAGGGCTGTCAGATCCGGATGGAATGAGGTCATATAGCCCAGGGGTATATGCAGATTTGATAAGATTTGAGAAGGCGGCTCCGCCCCTCTTTAGATAATGGCACTCCAGAAGGTTCCAAAATTTACCAAATTCTACAGGGTATGGCCCATTTTTATTTTTTGCTAATGTTGTGAATTAATACGTAATTGATAGTTTCATTTTTGCGTAAGTCTAGAACTGTCTTGTGTATTCTCTATATGAATCAAATTTATCATTAAGTATATAGCTACAAAGAATCGTCATATTGTAAAGCATCGCCAACGTGAAGTGGAAAAGTAATGGAAACAGAAATAAATAAAGAGAAAAAGGATATTGGAATATTTTCGGTGCAGACAAATCAGACTATTTTAAGTAGAAAAAGAAGATTGTGAGTAGAGGGATGATAAATTTGGAGGAAATAGAGGGGGCAGAATTACAGTCATCACCGAGACAAGTATGGCATAGGCCCGTTGAACCAGCAGAAGCACATTGGGCAGCTGAAGCTTCACAGGGAAGGGATGTCACGTTGTCTGAACACGAACGTGACACCCACTTCTCGAGGGCTGCAAAAATTAAGGCTAATATACGCTATTTTAATTCTTATAAATTTTCGTTTTGGTAATTTAATAGTCTTATTTATACCTAAAAGAACTTAAAAGGCTGCCGGAGCTTTTATACAGTAATTAACGACTTTGACAGCCCTTTGTGATCGACCTCGCTCGAAGCGTCTGATTTCATGCATTAAAATTTTGAAAAAGTTAAATTACTTCTGTCAGCCTACCTAAAAAAATCCAAAATTTTGAAATTTCACTCTAAAGTCGGACAACACGAAAACGCAAAAATACATAGGGAAATAAACCAAAGAAAAGTGTTTTTGGAAGTGCTTACCGTAATCAATGACACAAGTTCAACTATTGCAGTTGTCCGTTTCACACCGGGAGCACGAGCCGGTGCCCTTTGAGAATTTGCAGATGGCCGGCCCGGCCAAGCAGCCCATATTCTTGTTGGCACATGTACGGAGGATGAATGGGGCTGAATACGGGGTAATTTTGGACGGGATTTGAACTCAGGAGGAAGGGATTCAGACCGTACTACCACAATACAAAAAAGCTATGATATGAGATTCTTTCGGACATCCTTACATTTTCCACCTTCACACACGAATTTCTGGCAGACATATTTGTCGTCGCTCTCCCCGAGGCCGCAAATCCGGGACTTGTAATTGTCTTTTGAGCCCGAGTAGCATCGCTTGGCCGATTCTAAATATTTAGTTTAGGAGTTTAAAGGGATAAGGACAGTCAGTCGAATTTGGGAGGGGCTAGATTTTTGGCAAATAACAAACAGGGCGTGAAGTCCAGACATATCTCGACTTATACAGTCCTTGTATCTTTAAAAATCCACAAAAAGCGTTGAACTGACATACCCTATAAAATTTTATACTTTAAATTAACTTACCAACAAAAAGCGGCACCAGAATAAGTATCAACAAGAATCCCCGCGTCGCCGACATCATAATTCCTAGAAATCTATTGAAAATATAACTTAAAAAGGCTAAAAATTGTGAAAAACCCTAATCC